CGTCATTACATGCAGCAAGAGAAAAGAGAAATCATCATTACATGCATCAAGAAAAATGACGGCTATGTTTATGATGGAACTCTAGCCGAGTGCGAATATGTTAGGAATATAATAATAATAAAAAAAAAACTCTAGGTTTTGAGACAATCAGTCCTGTTTAGTTAGTAACATCAACTCTTATACAAATTTTAAAAGCCTCAAATTACTCTAGTGCTGTCTTTGTTTGAGGAAAAATAAGTTTTATGGAAAAATTAATTTATGAGGAAGCTATTTTCTTGAAAATTATTTTCCAAGAACATATTTTTTATTGTTTGGCAATTATATGAAAAAACTGTTGAAAAATATATTTCAACATTTGTTTGATATAGAAAATTAAAATACAAAAACTCATGTTATTGTTATATCAACAAGTTTTGAGAAAATTTTAAAAATACATATTCATAATTTTATAATATAAGATAAATTTAGAAAAATTTAATAAATTGTTATCAATACTAACTCTAAAATTTTAATTCAAAAAATAAAATATACTTTTTTAACAATCAAACCAAATCATCAAAATTACTTGGGAAAAAATTAAGTTAATATTCATATTTAGTAAAAAAAGATTCTAAGTAATCCTAGCATTATTATTTTAGTAACTCAATTAAGAATTTTTTTTTTAAGAAATTGAATTGATAATTTAGTCTAAAAAATAATTTTATAAATTATTAGTTATCATTTATAGATAATTATTTATTTGATCTCAAAAGATTAATGTTGGAATAATTTGTAACTAATTATTCATTACAATTACCAACAAAATTTTACAATTGATTAAAATTAAAAATTATTGATTTAATTGCAAACGAATAGTATTGAAAAAATAATGTATTTATTGATGAATTAATTCATTTTAATTTTTTTTTACAAAAAATTATAGTCTTGTTATAATCATTTTCGATCATTTAACTATAGCTTAGGTAGTGTTTGAGACAATAGTAAAAAAAAAGAGATAAGTTATTGAAATATTTACTATAAAAATAATTTTAAGGTGTAAAAATGGTTTTTAAGAATATTTAATGTATCTATAAATCAAAAAAATCAAATATTAGTAAAGATAGAGAAAAAATAATTAAATAATTGATAAGAAATAATTAAAAATTTATATGATATATTTTAAATAAAAAGAAGATAGAGAAAAAAATCGTTAAAATATATCGAAAGAGAGTTAAGTAATGAGAGAGCGAGACGACTCGTGAGAAGGAAAATGTTTTTCTCTTTTGAAACCGGGAAAACATTTTTCCAAAATTACTCTATCATTTTTCGTTGATTGGAAATCATTTTCCATTGACTTTTTTCCCGAACGTGAAACAAACATTGAAAAATGGGAAAAACAAGTTCCGAGAACTTGCTTTCCTCCAAACAAACACAACCTAGGTTTTGTTTTGCGAATATGTTAGGAATATAATAAAAAAAAACTCTATTTTATCGCTACTACATTTGAAAAGGAAAAAAAAGAAGTGAAGAAGTTTTCTACTTACAAATTTTAATTTTTTTCCTTAATATTATTTGTAGGTGTAAATATTTAATATTTCACTGTTGCCATCAGGTTAGACTTCTTGATTGATTAATCCACAATATGAAAAATTATATTTTCCAAAACCAAATCACACACATTTTCTACTTTGTTTGGCCTCCACCAATCTCGTTGTATGCTAAGAGATTATTTTTCTATCTTTCTTTAACTAAAGTAATATCGATGCTCTTGGAGTGTGATTGGGAGGGTCTGTGCTTTTAGAGTATGAAATAACAAAGGTGATGCAAAGGATTAAAACAATAATTTAACTGAAGGTATCCCATCCAATAACATGAAAACTGCAAATGTAGCCTGTTAAACAAACTTAGCCATTCAAAATGCACTACACCATATATGTATTCATAGATTTGAGGGTAGACGCTTTCTTAAATTCTCTTATTGAGAAGCATAATTCACCACCACACAATTTTTTTAAACAACATTTGTAGCCTAAAATTTGTTGATAACAAAAATCAGTCTACACATCATATGACCATGAAAGAACCACTTTGTAGTTGTATTATTACCACCAACAACATTAATATTTGTAGCTCAAATAAAAGTTTAGTACTTATAGATAGTCTTGAATTTAATAATAGAAAAAATGACAAACAATTGTCGGACTAATATTGATACTCTAATCATGTATAGTAAACCCAAAAAAATCAATCAAATAAAACATAAAATCAGACGATAATAATCCAACAAAACGTATTCAAGCTAGAAACTTTATTGCAAAGCTTTTCTCAACTCCCACTCGTGATATCTCACACACCTGTCCATAGTTGTAGCATGCATAACTTTGTTAGGCTTGACTTTTGCCAATCTTTTTTTATAAACAAGTCTCCCCTTGTTTATTCACACCACAGTTACTGTGTGGGCAATACTTCAAAACTTCATCCAACTCTTTAGATTCAAAATCGGGAGACACGAGTGGTAAATGTTGGTGAAAAGAATAGAAAAGCCATTTCAAGCAAATTGGTAGATAGCCCAATTACTATAAACTAAAACGCGTGGGGTTTTTGAACAGTGGTAACACTGTTCATCTCCTCATAAATTACTGTTCATTCCATTTTTTTTTTTTTTGGGTCACTCAGATTGTGGGAAGCATTCATGCTTTAGGCATTTTGCTTGGGACCTGTGTTCATTCCTTCTAGGACCATGCTTAGACTTTTATTTTATTTTCTCAAAATATTTCATAACAATTGAAAAATTAGAACAAATATTAATAATACTACTATTACTATTATTACTATTATATTATAATTATTGCTATTGCTATTGCTATTACTATTACTATACTATATATCTAAAATTGGTAGGGGATTTAAACAATGAAAATCATTATTCACTTCCTTACAAATCACTATTCATTCTTTTTTTTTTTCAAGTTGTTTCACTATACATGTTTTTTTTTCATCAATTTAGGTTCTTTGGATACATTCTTATGAAAAAATATATAATTTTAAAGTATTTTCTTTTAAATTCTTAATTGATATTTTAGATTTAAATTATTATAAGTTTTTATTTAAAAATATATAAATAAAAAAATCAAATTTTAAGCAAAAATTTTTATGAAAAACACATAAAAAATATTAATAATTAAATAAAAAAATTAATGAAAAAATTATAAAATTTTGTAAATGATTTTATTCTATCTACCCGTAGTGTTGTGCGAATAATTTCAAAAATTCATTTTTTCATTAGCACTAAATAAGTATTTTTTTCATTTGTTAATTTTTATAAAAATCTTTCCATTAATTATAATTTTATTTGTTGAAATACAATATTATGCAAATTATATTTTTAAAGTTTTTTTTAATTTTTTATTAATATTTTAGTTAAAATTATTACATTTTTTATTTTAAAATCAATCCATAAAAAGGAATGATTTATGTTTTTTTAAACAGAAAATTTATTAAAAAAATTAAAAACTTAATTAAAAAATTAAAATTTTAAAATGATTTTTTCCCACCAAAACCGCAACCTAACACAGCTTTTTTACATGGTTTTTTTCCTTTACTTTTTTCCATCAATCTAGGTTCTTTTTTTTTTTTTAATTTTTTTTCAAGCTATTTCATTTTGGTCTCTAAAATTTTAAAATAAAAATTTTAATCCCCTAGCTGATGCGTTAGACATATCTTTTTTTTTCCTTTGCTTTTTTTCCATCAATTGATGTTCTTTTTTTTCATTTGTTATTTTTTTTGTAAAAGTCTATCCATTAATTATAACTTTATTTTTTGAAATAAAAATATTATGAAAATTAAAATTTTAAAGTTTTTTAATTCTTGATTAATATTTTTATTAAAATTATTATATTTTTTATTTTAAAATCAATCCATAAAAAACAATGATTTATGTTATTTAAACATAAAATTTATAAAAAAAACATTAAAAAAATTAATTTGAAGTCGTTTCACTATACATGCTTTTTCTGTTTTTCTTTGCTTTTTCCCATCAATCTAGGTTTTTTTTATTTAATTTTTTTAATTTTCAGATTGTTTCATTTTGTTCTCTAAAATTTTAAAATAAAAATTTTAATCCCTCTAGCTAATGCATTACACATGCCTTTTTTTCTTTTGTTTTTTTTTCCATCAATTTATGTTATTATTTTTCTTTCATTTGTTAATTTTTGTAAAAGTTTGTCCATTAATTATAACTTTATTTTTTGGAATACAATGTTATGAAAATTATATTTTAAAATTTTTTTCATTCTTAATTAATACTTTAATTAAAGTTATTATATTTTTTATTTTAAAATTCATAAAGAAAAATTATTTATGTTTTTTAAATAAAAACTTATAAAAAAATTAAAAAATATATTTAAATAAAAATTATAATTAAAAAATTTTAAAATTTTAAAATAATTGTTTTAATGGACCTACAATGTAGCAGGGACAAGTGACCAATTACATCTATAATGGTATCGGCACAAAATTCCTTTCTTCGTTGAAGCATATCAGCCCACATGGGCTTCGCTCTTTCAAGGTCCAAATTTCCTAACCTGATGGAAAAAAATTGCATAAGATAATAAGCCATTATTAGTTATCAATCGTAACAAAACATGCAAGACTTAAAAAAAAAGCACAAAATTCTTTATTGGTCATGACAAATTACCTCAGCGTAAAAACGTTACTCACTAAATCTCCAAAATACTCATATAACACTCTCGCTATAAAACCGTTGGTCTACCGCTGATAAAATACCTCATTACTTAATAAGATTAAATAAATCTCAAAACCATACCCAATCTCCTAGCTTCATGGCACTCCTTAGATCTTGAGTCCACATCCAAAAAAAAAAGGCCATTACAGCAGCGACACAAACAGAGCCTAAGAAAGGAGAGATCCCGCCAGCAGCGGTGGTTGGTGTATGAGCTGGAGCGGACACCGGAGCGGCAGCGTGAACGGAGAGGACAGCGAAGGCAAGAGCCAAAACGGCAATGAGAGTTGCTTTTGAGAGCACCGTTCGTTTGCTTATGGGCTTTACGAAAATTGGAAATGAAAGAATGTGAGAGAAATTGAAATGCAAGAGATTTTTAATTTGCGAGGCGAACTGGAAAGGAAAAACAGGGAAGGGGCTTTTATATAGGAGTGGGAGAGGGAAGGGTTTGGGCAGTGTCGTGGGTAGCTAGGGTTTTCACTGACAGCTTGCAAATTATTGCAAGATACAACGGCTAGGAGGCAACAAAAGAGGGCACACATTGCATTTGTGTCTTTTTCTACAGTGAATATGAGTCTGAATGAGCAGTAAGTGAATAGTCAGCAGCTCTATTCTTTTAGTTTTATTTGTTAATCCTTTTCTCCTCCTTTTCTTGGAGTAGCTATTGTCTTGCATGCTGGAGGGACCTTATCCCTAATCAAGGACTATCCAATTCAGTCCTACAACCCTTGAATTTTGAAGCAGCTTGGACGGGATTAAAAGAAATGTAAGTATAAGCCTCTTTTCTTAGCTAACAATCTCTTGATTCTGTACGTCAAAGTTTTGATTTCTTTGTATCTGTTTGTGCGATCGATAATTTTTCAGGGGAGCTTTTAAATTGGAACTGCGCTGTCCACAGAGAGTGCACGACATTGCAATTGACCCAGAACCCCATTGGAGTTTTGATTCTCTATCATCAGAGCTCAATTCACTTGAAAAGAAGCTCCATGACTCCTCTTCAGTTCCTGTTCCTTTCACCAAAGTTCAATCTCGGTACTCTGTTTTCTCCATTTGTTCGGGTTTCTCTTAGATGCATCTGTATATCGTATTGTTAATTCATTTACTTTTTGATTTCTCGCTTGAATTCAATGTTGTCATTAGTTTTAGAGAGTTTTGGAACAGGGAGGGTTTGGAGAGAAGTACCATGGCCTTTGTCATGAGCTTGTCCAATGAAGAGGTTGAGCTTTCGGAAAGCGAGAGTGAGGAGAATCATGATCTAAGTTTGGTGACTGCGAAACGGTTCAATTGCGATGATCTTTACATGAGGTATAGTATTAAATTACATGGATCCCTAAATGTTGATTACAAGGTTATTTGTTGTATTGGATATAGTAATTGTTTCTTTGTTTTCTACTTTCTTCAGATATACTACTTCATGAGTTCAAAACTTTTCCCTTGTGCGTTTTGCTTTGTCTTTCAGTGAGAGTGAGGGTTCTGATTATGAGTTAGCTCTTGATGGTCAGTCCTACTTGATGGATGAAGTGGGGTTAGTGGAAAGTGCTCTTTTTGAACTAAGCCATGAGCATCATCTTCAAGTGCAGGTATGTGGATCTCAATTGCAGTCATTTTTTGTGTGTTATAGGGTCCTTAAATTGTCTTCATTGAACACATACATAACGGTCATTTTGAGTTGACAAAGAAGTAGGGAAGCCAGTGAATTTTTTTGTGTCAAGGTTTATTAAGATTTGTTTTTTGGCGTGTAACAATTGTAAACTGCTTGATTAACAGGAGGATATCAGGAGTCAACTTTCAGCGCTAGAGACAGAATTCATGACTGAGCAGGAAAAGTCTGCATCTGCATTAGCTCGAATAGAGAAGTATAGGGAAGCAAGAAAGGAATTGGAAAGAAAACTTGATACTCAGTATCAGCGCAAAATGTAAGACTATATCTTCCTGTTCACTTTATTTTTAATTCTCATAAAAGTGTAGAAATTTAGAAAATATTGTTTCAGTGGTTAAATTTCGTTCCTATTATTTTGTTCTATTGATTAGATTTTGGATTGAATAAGAAATAATTGAGTCATAATGCTGTTCTTTATTTATGCCTTACAGTCGTTTCTGTTGAATTCTTGTTAAGACTGTGATTGACCTACATTGCAAAACACTGGCTTCTAACAGCTCAAAGCATTTTTAGCTACAAAAGTGGATGCAATCTCCCTGATTTCTAAAATTCATAATATTTTTTCTCAGTGTATAATTTTGATAGAAGGAGTTTGAGAATTTCAATAGAGACAGAAACTGAAAAAGAAAAGAGTTGATATGCTAGAAGGAATAACTGAATTGGGTATCTAATTCTCATGAAAAATGCTAGAGTTATTAAACGTCTGGTTGTTTTCAGTTGGTTTATTTAAGTACATTCTTACTAGACAGTGACAGGGAATAGTAGAAGTGGTGGTTGATTAAAGTATCAACTCGTGTTGAAATTACATCTAAGCTATAATATTAATTTAGAAAGAATTAATATACAAAAGTATAAGTCATGTGTCAAAAGAGATACTAATTTTGAGGATTGGGTATGATAACATGTTCAAAGGAAGTACATGTTAATCTTGTGTATGCAATTACCCCTGTTGTAATGCGTGTATCTAAAGTGATCACAGACTGGTGACTTGGCTTAGCACAATGTGAATGCACAATTTGTAAGCTGTAAATGAATCTGGAAGTTGAATGTTTAACAGTTCACCTGGGCTGGGGATAATTCATTTAGAGAAACCTGAAATGGTTTCTGACATTTCTTTATGATGTTATAGTGCAGAGGCTCTTGACAATCATTTGACTGCCATTCAGCAAGATCATGAATTAAAATCACAAATAGAAGAAAGGAGAATAAGAAGTGATGCAGCTCATGAAGAGGCCAGGAGAAAAGAAAGGGCCCTTCAAGAGGAAAGATTGCGGCAAGAAAGAGCTAGAGCTAGAGCAGAAGCAGAGGTTTGTCAATTTAATCTGAGTTCTTAATAAGTAACTTTGGATATGGTATTTGTGATCATATAACTTAAATGCTATTTCTGAATATATGTACGATGTTTTCTGCATTCTTTTCTTGGGTTATGAGCTAGTTGCCTCTCCCTTCACGCCTGAAGTCTTGGGCTCTTGAGTTGCATTTTGTGCGAGTCCTGCTTCATTGGGAGACCTGGTATTTCTTTTATCCCAACACTGTACAAGTATCCTTGCCTTCAAATTATTTTTGCTAGCTGTTTTCATGTGTTGTTTTCAAAGAAATACCCGTCTTGCATGTTTGGGAATTCTGTAATAACCAGTTAACCAATCTTGATCAAACTTATTAATTCCAGTCTTGATAAACTTAGTTTTGGTATATCTATAAAAAATTTGGTGGCAGATGCTATTTTCAGCAGATTGACTACAGTTATGAATGCAGGCCAAACTTAGAGCTGAGGAAGCAAAAATGGCTGCTTTAGAAGCAGAGAGGAGAGCAGCAAAAGAAGCAGTTGAAAAGGAAGCTGCTGAAGCCTCAAAAAGGATGGGCACTGTAGCCTTGCAACAGGAGGCTGCCAAACCCCAACTAAACACTGATTCCTCAAATACAAACCTTCAACCCCAGGGGTCTGGATCTGATAGAACTAAGAAATCACAAGCAACTGGTATTCTGTTTTTTCTGCCCATGCAAGTGCTCAAATTTCTAATGCTTTGAATTATGAAAGGGCAACAACTTTGTTCCCCTAACTTTTAGAGCCCAATAAGAAATTTGAGTCTCAAATTGATGTGCTTTTGGTCCATTCTGATTTTATGTTGAAATTTTCTTTGTAGATTTTACCCTCCTACCTCCCTATTCCTTTCTCCTCCATCCTTCTCTATTTTTCGCACGTATTTCTTGGCAATGCTCTCCATAATTTTTTGCCTTAAATTTCTACATCAAGAACCTAAAAGTCAGTGTCGGAATATGATTTGGTAGCAATACAGAAAAATATATTGATGGTAGCCAATAACTTATGTTCTCCGTCACCTTTCTGGTTCCCCGCCTCTTATTCGCTATTTAGGGGTTCCCATCATTTTGCAGTTGGCTATCCTTTTTAACTAGCTCAAGGCTCAATCCTGACTCATTTTCTCTTTGTTTGTATGTTTTCTCGCATAAAAACTTTATATTAACCCAAAATGCCAGGTTCCTAAAAGGAGGCTTTGTTATTTATCTTTCACATTGCCCATCATTGGTATTTTGCACACTTTATTGAATTAAACAATTTTTTGCAGGTGATGTTGTGAGGGCTGCACAAAGCGCTCTTACTTTAGAGCAGGGAAGATTGCAAAAGCTTAAAGAGCTTGAAGAAGCAAACCGGACATTGATAATGAGTTCTAATATGGTATTGCTAGCATGTGTTATGTTAAGTTTTCAAATCTCGTGTTCTGTTACATTCATCTAAAAAATGGTTGTTATTGTGATTACTTTCTGCAACTTTCCGGCACTGATCTTTTAGTTAGGTAATTTGTAAAATCTGTTATTAGGTTTCGTAGCTCCTGCACATTGGTGCATACATCTTTCCGGTCTTTCTTGAATTTTTATTTGTGTTCTGGTTATTTCATTGTGGTCCTGGTTATCTGATTTTAATGGATCATATAACTTTTAATCTTCTATTTGATATTTCATTAGGATTTTGCCAACCACGAGAGGCATATTGCAAGGTTGATTAGACAAATAAGGGGGATAAAAGAGAACGTTAGGTAAGGTGGATGTCCTTTTGCATTTTGACCATTCCCGCACATTGTTTCAGTAACTTGAGAGAAACATAAGATTGTTCAAGAGATCTTATGTATCCAATTTGTCATTTGTGTATCGAGTGTTGAATTCTATTGCATGCTAAAATAATTAAAATGAAAATGTTATCTTAATTTTTGTTGCAGAGTAAAGGCAAGTGAGCTTGTTAAGATTTTAAAGAATCCTTCATGCCCTCAGTCAATCAGTGTTGCGGCATTTGCAAAGAAGGTAATTTCGATTTTTTTTTCTCATTTTTCTTGTTTTGTTGTTATTATAAGGTCATTGGGAGAATCGAGAGATGAGAAAGTTCAGGAAGTGGGTGCTAAACATTCTTATAGATCCAATGTGATGGACTGCATTGGTTATTTTTATGTAATTCTAGAGTAAGACAAAAACAAAAGCAAAAAATCCAAACATTTGATTTCTACAGTTTGATTAACACACACAATCATGAAACATAAGATGAAAAACTTATGTTCAATGAACCCGATCTTGGGTTTGAACAATTACAAATGAAAACTAAAGATAATGTGTGTGTGTGTACATCTGATTATAATTGCATTCTCCTTGTCAGTTACAAGCTTTGAACAACATAAGCTTTTCTCCATGTATACCGTTCAAACCTGATCTTGGGTCTGAACAATTACAACTGAAAGCTAAAGATAAAGTGTGGCATACAACTGATCATAATTGCATACTCATTGTGAGTTACAAGCTTTGAACGACATAAGCTTTTCTCTATGTAGTTTGCTAAGAAGGTCTATGGCTCTAAATTTATTTTTTAGTCCATTTAGTTCTGCGCCCTCTTATTGCAACTATTGTCCATGTGCAGTGTTCTACTTGTTAATTTGTTCAATCACTGAATGTGGAAGTATGCACTGATGTGTTTTCCCATTTTGATGTCTATGATTCTGTAGGTTGTTTCCCATTGTGAAAGTCCTGATAATGCTGCTTTTGCATGTGGACATGTCATTGTTCTTGTTACTTCACAGGTAAAGCTTGTCAATTTATCTTGTTCTCTTGTGTTTTTGTTTTTCCTCTTATTTTGTATCTTGTTCATAGAGGGTTGAGCTTGTGAGATAAATGAGGTTTTTTATCATGCTCTTTGTGCTCTGTAAGCCTGATGATCATTAAGATACTGCTGATGATGAAAAGAAAAAAAGACACACTAAGTGCGTCATTTACACGATTCTAAATGACTTTGCGTTGCACCATTTGATTCTGAAATGACAAGATGTGGCCCAAATGGTCTGTAGAGGATTATAGACATAAGCTTAGGCTAGGAGGTTGGGGTCAACCCTTCCAAGGTAGATTAGGGAATGCATTAATCATGTGTCAGCAGAAGTTATGCACTTAATTTTCTATTCTCTCATGTATGTTAATTATTTGTGAATCAGGTCCCACAAGCAATGGATCTTCTTCTTGCTGAGTTCCATAGAGCTTGCATGTACACTGTCCCAAAGCACATAGTGTACTCAAAGGTGATTCATTTTTAATCCTAGGAGCTGTCCACAAATGAATTGCAATAATACATTAAGTTAAAATCAAAAGAATCTTGCATATCCTGTATTTGTTACATGCATTTGCGAGTGATATAGAATACAAAAGGCAAGATCAAAGAGACTGGGAACTGGGGGAAAGAGTTCCTTCTCTTAAACTCTATTAGGGTGCAATACGGAGTCTATTTATTAACCTTCTGTTGCAATACTCTTTACTTATGAACCTCATAAGAACTCTAATTTGCTATGTTTCAGAAGATCAAAGGATAACCGTATGAATTCAAATTTCTATCTGTCAAACTTCCTCATCTTGATTAGCAGATAGTAGCACATATGAAGGTGTTCTTGTTATGTAAATAATTTACTTAGAGAACCTATCCAATATCCATGTTGTAGTTTCAATCTTGAAACAATTTCTGAAATTGGCTAGCAATGCACACTCGAGATAGGAACGGCCTAAAGTTAAATCTGCATCAAAGTAAATGCTTTCTGAAGTTTCCTCCAAGTTGCAATCCATCGCATGTGGGCAACTATCATCTGTCACCATAGGGAAAAAAGTTCTACGAGTTTCTCGTAGCTATTTTTGTGTTTCCTTCATTACTTTTGAACCTTTTTTACTGAAACTTCAGAATTTAGTTGGTAAAGTGTTGAAAAGGGACCTCCATTTTATTGCCTATGCCAACTATTTATGACTAATAGATCTCGTGGTCTATGTAGCTTGTATTTCACAAGACTTGAATCTCACTTCGATTTCCATCAGCATCCATTACCAATCCTTAGGTCTTAAAATTTACAGAAACGTAGTTCCAGAAATATCTTTATCGGGAACTTTGAATGGTTATCTTTTCCACTCCCAGTTGCCATTATGATAGAAATCTAAATTAGAAGCAAATAAAGGCTAATAACCAAGTAGTGGTCTATAAGCGGTAAAAGATGAGAGAGCAAGATTTGTTTGTGGTGTTTCTTCCTTTGTTTTTGCCGCAGCTCCCATTTTTTATGTTTACTCCTTTTCTTCTTCTTTTTCTTTTTAATTTTTTTTTGTTTTCCAATTTCAGTTGGTCTTCGAATCAAAAGAGGCTTACTATAAACACATTGGACATCGAGAAGATGATGGGAAGATTGAGAATGTTAAGGATTATTTGAAACGGTTAGAATCTTACATGAAACTGTATGGGGCTCTGGTTCAGGTTTGGCACTCTTCATCTTAATAATAAAAAGGAGTTTACTATTACTTCTTTGTCTGTATTATTAGGATGGCAGCCTGGCTATGCTTGTTGAGCGATACTGTCTTAGTTCTCATTCTTATCTCTTCATACATTGAGAGTAGCAACTGACATAGGTTGCTTGTATTTTTGCAGACAGAAGTGCAGGGTTTCCAGAACATTCATGGTCCTAAAGAAGGTTGGGCATGGCTTGCGAGGTTCTTAAATGTTCTCCCTGCCAATATGTATACTGCTGTTGCATTGAATGCCTTCCTGCAAGTAAGTTGGTAGAAATTCTTGATGTACTTGGTATAATGGTATTTAGAAAAGGACCCGTGGAGCTGAAAAGATTCTATGTTTCCACAGACAGCAGGATTTGTTCTCTTCAGGAAATATAAATCTCAATTTACGAAGATGCTCCATATCATCTTAAATGACTTTCTAAATGCATTGAGAGAGCGGGAGGATTCAGATCTAAATCCAATAATTCTAGAGATTCAGTCTTATATAGAAGACAATAAGTTCTGCCAGGAGCCTGAAGGAAGGAGCCTGCAGGGTCAGTTGCTATCTAGTATCATGGTGCCCGAGTCAGAAACAAGTAGAGGTTACTACTATTGACTATCAAGCAACTAAGTTTTCCAGGTAGGATGGCATTTCTCTTCCAATTAACAATTAGTCTTCTTTCTTATACTTAGCTGTGTTCTTTCTACTTAAGACTTTAATTCAAGGTCTTTTATTTAATCCATTTTGTAATTATCTAGAGATGTGCATTCTCTAATTATGGTTATGCAGTACTAATATATCAATAGTTTCAATCTATCAACAGGGACAAAGAATAATGCTACTAAAGATAATTCAATCAAGCATCTATCAAATTACTTCCAGGTCTATCTGTCTGTTTCACACATATCTGTGTATATGTACACATTTTTAATAGTTTTGATCGTTGTTGAAAATTTTGATTATCATCAAGGTCGCATGGAAATGAGATTGGTGTTCTATTCTGTTACATGGATGCATTTTATGATCCAAATACAGCTCAAGGTAACTGTAACAGACATGAATAAGCCTTCACAATGTGAGAAATAGTTAGCTACCTTACCAATTCAAGTTACTTGAACTTTATATTGTTGGCCCATTTATCATTTTAAGAATTATTTGTGGCATTTGATTGAGGTTAAATTATTGGGTTATTAAGAAAAAATTATTTCTGGGTTCTACTTTTCAGTTGTTTTATCTGTTTTTGTTGCGATGAAAATTGTTGTTAGGAAATAATCGATGGATTGGATCTTATATGATTAATACATAATTGATTTTATTATCTATCATGTGGTTTGAATATTTTTTTTTTCAAATGAAATCATGCGATTATGATTATTTGATTGATTATAAAATTAATTCTTGTATAAAAATAATAAAGATTGCAGATAATAATAATCTTCTCTTTGCTTTATGAATATATTACTTCAGATCCTTTTAAAAGAAAATAAATGTAGTTTAGGTACTCAATTTGGTTGGAAGATAATCAACCGTTGTATAAACAGAAAGAATATGTTGGATTTTTCTAGTTCAGTTGGAACCCCTAGACGGCCAATGCCAACATCTCGGCGTTGGTGCTGATCCATTGACAACATTTAACGCATGTATTCCCTGAATGATATCCCTACTCATAAACACACTCATTTTGCTGCTCCGACTCTTCTGTGTGATGTGACAGATAAAACTATCCGAGGAGGGGATGTCCAACAAGTCTCTGTGTTCCTAGTGGTTAGGAGAAAGATCTGTCATCAGCATTGATCCGTACCCTCTCATAACAACTTGTACTTGGGATCCACTCATAACCCACAACTTGATAAGCATTGATACGTACCCTCTCTGAGTTAAAAAACTATCAGCATTATCATGCATATATATAAAACGTAATGCAAAATTCGATCCGAACTTGACACTTACCTGTGTATGTGTGTGTGGATGGAGAAATTAGGCGCAATGTTTTTAGTAGTTTCTATTAGTTGTATTCCCTTGATCCACACAACTAATGCAAGTATTTTCGCTATTCTGCCTTGTTGAATGCAGGTTGCTGGAAGAGAGAGAGAGAGAGAGAGAGAGAGTTGCACATTTTCGTAGATGTCAACAACAATATGTACGAGTATTTTCTCAGTTAATGCAAATTATGATATTTGGATTTACAGCAAATTCTTTTTGTATAATGTTAATGAGATTATATGTTCCTTGCGTTGACTTGTGTGCTCAGATCACCAAAAAAGAATGCTAATTTCATTTTCTCGATTGTTGTGTTTATTATTTTTAATTATTAGCTTACTTCTGAGCTGTTTTTTGCTTGACAAGGGGAAAAAAAAAAAGCAGCTAATACCAGATTTTCTTTTCTTGACATTTCTTTTATCATGCGTTTCTGACATCGATAAGCAACACAGGCCACTCAAATGATGGCTTGCTAATTACACCAGTTAACAGTGCACAAATGCATCTCCACAATACATTAAAAAATAAATAAATAATCCAATCCAATATATACAGACTCAAAGTCATTCGAAGGTACAAAAAAAGACTCCCTCCCAAGCCAAAAATAGAAATAACAACACCAATAAAAGAATAAATTTGGATTTTATTTTTTGTCCATCAACAGCTATGAAAAACCGACCTAACCTTAATCCACGTATGCTTCAATAATTAGCTTCTGGCAAAAACCAACTTATGGAACACAGTTCTTCGGAAGAGTCCTCAGCCATGGTCAATATAAATATGCACGAATCCAACTAGATTGAATTTTCCCAAATTTCTACAAGGCAAGCAGTTTTATACATCTCCTACAGCTTCCCCTTTATTTTGTGTCAGGCAGAAGAAAACAGCCACCAAGAAACAGATCAACCCTGCACATCCTAAAACTGTTTCGTTCATCATGAAGGTCATTGAGAAATCTTTTTTTTTTTTTTTTTTCCTCAGCTTACTTTTCAAAGAACAACAAATTAACAGGTGAAAATGACACTATTGAATGGCTAACCTGCACCTGCCTCAGAAAAATGAGCATTTGATTCAGCTTCCACCGAACCAAACACGAAGGAGGCAGAGACAATGATTGCATTGGAACTTAGTAGAGCCTGATTCTAGTCTGTATTGACCTTCGGCATATGGGACACACTTCAAGGTCTTCTCCACAGTCGCAACAAGTCTGCAGAATAGAAGATTTGTCAATAAAGTACTTATGGTTATGATCCCATTGTCATGACAAAATAGCATTAATAGAACATGGTTCACCTGATGCCCACAACCAAAGGCCATGTCCTTTGGATTAGTAAGACAAATGGGGCAAACCTGTCAAAGTTCATAAAGAGGAAATGTCAATTGCTTCGGCACGGATTCAAATGAGAGAACTGAATATGATGGGATATATGGATATGAATACTGAGAGCAAGAGTTATATACCAAGGACAAAATGCTGATTTAAAAGTAATGTATCAGAAAGAAATCCTAAATAATAAAATGAACTTGTATCTAGAACAGTTTTTACACCTGATTATCATAAGCAGAGCTTGAAGTTGGAGCACTCACTGCTGTTGTTTCGTATCCACCAACTGGTTTATCATATCCAGAATAAGAAGGTACCCGCTGCTGGAAGCTGCTTGAGCGGGAAGCTTTCGACCTGCTTGAAGAAGGCGGGCCATAAAGTGGTGGGGGCAAAGGAACCATCTCTGGTGCATTCCCTCTATGGTGACTGCTTTATCCATGGAAACATACAGATGACATTTATAAAAATTTACATGACAAAGGAATTGAAGTGAATCAGTGAAATGCACTGCGCTAAAACTTTGGTTTTTTACCCCAATAAGCCAAGCTCAATAGTCGCTTTGTATTGAGAAGGTATTTCCATCAATGCTGCAAGAGCAAATTCTGTTTCTTTTCTCAACTCACTCACATTTTTTGACATTATTTCTGTAAAATTCACAAACTAACAAGACAGAAATGAAATTGTTCAAATTAGTAAATGTGTAGATGTAGAGCTGCAATCTCTGAACAACTACATGACAGAACTATGATTACCTGGAAATTGTCAAAGGCTCGAGCAGGGATGTTATCATCAAACTCCCTCATCATGTCCCAAGGTCCATCACCAACTCCGACTAAAATGATTGATAAGGGGAATTCACTGGATTTATCAAGAATGCAAGCAAGTGATCAGCCAAATCAAAAACTAGCTATTGAAAGTGCACTATCATATATATCTACCTTGCCCACACACACAGACATGTAGCTAGACTGCATTACCTTGCTCTTACAATTGCATCGATTGTCCTTCTCTCTTGTGGACTGAGCTGGCCATGGTGTGTGTCAACACTTCTTGTCACCTATTATTGATTAAGTTTTCTTTTAAGCGGAAGTGGTACAGCAAGAAAAGCATTGACAAGCCAAGTATATGGAAAAACTATGCATTTTGTGCAGTAGGAATATATTAACTGCTTCAACCAAATATCAACAAAAAAATTACATATCCTATTGTTTTGCATTTTCCATGCACGAATCAAATGTCATGACCATCACAAGCAACTGCAGCTTCAAGGAATGATTGGAAAAGGGCATTTCACTTCTACATCTTGACTGATTAAAATATTTCACCATGGAGAGACTTTCTTAGAAAGCATTCTTTCTGCAAACAAGGAGATATACTGATCTGAAAATGGTCCTTTTCTTTTTATTTGAACTGATGCGAATGTTTCTGACCATAATGGTGTTTATATAGCAAATAATAGAAATTTTGACGTTGTTATGTCACTGTTTTCTAGGGATTAGCATTGCCTAGCACTCAAAACCTTGAAAGTGAGGACTAAATGAGTTACTAAAGGCATAACAATCAAAACTCCCTGCCTTTTAACGATAATAAACCGTGCATTGTTTCGCCTATCTTCATAGAACCTCCAGAACCACACATGATAGACCTAACTTAATCTACTCAAAAAGAAAAAATCCATCTTTAAGGGGAAATACCTGTCCATCTGCGATTATCACCAAAACATGGTACTGCCCACCACTTTGCTCAACAATAGTCATTGCCATTTCAATAACAGGTGCAAAAGATGTCGGTCCTATGTTAACAAAACATAAACAGAATGCCTTAGAACCACCTGATAGCATGTTTAGAATAAGATGACATAATTAGACAATGAAAAGAAGCTGACCAGCAAGACGAAGGTTGGGAACAATTTCTTTGTATCGCATCAGCACTTCCTCGAATCCATTACAGAATCTCTCATCCGGAAAGAAACTAAAGACATCTTGATCATGTGTTGATGCTGCAAAAAAATTGTGTGAATATCATCTTCCTCGTACAAATACTAATTCAACAGAGCATAATTCAAGAGAATTCTTCAAAAATCAAAAACGAAAAAAAGAATGCTTAATATGAAATTACCATCTCCAAATCCAAAACATGGAATTAAGTTATCCTCATCGAATGCAGATAAAGTCCTCCCAATAATTGATATGGCTTGTTCATACGGATTTTGACTATTTCCAACATAATGTAAGCTTCGCCGATTGAATGATCTCGCACCTGACATGATTTTGAGAGAAGTTTAAGCATTGCTTTTGTGATTGAATCATAATTGATTTCTATACATTAAAACAAATCAGGATAATACCATACCTGTCCACTCATTGCTTTTCGTGAAGTCAATTCCAACAATGAGATTAGAAGACTCTAAGCCAGCTTGAGCAAGAGCAGCAGTGACCTATGGACAATGATTTACTTTGTTTAGCACTTAGCAGCATGTTGAATCCTTAAAATCATATATCTAACACATGTACATTTGGCCATCTACGAAATTTCCCGGCAAATCATCCAGTATATATAGAAAACAAGCAATCAAATGATATAGAGGTGAGGAGAGGAAAAATGAATTAGCTAGAAACAGGTTTGAAGATTTCGAACCAGCATACATTTAGTATCTTGGGTTATATTTGAAGCTGTCATGTCAAAACCCACTTTTGCACATCATTGTCAATAACTTTCTTCAGACTTATCCTGTATAGAAGCCCAAAATAATCCAAAAACCTAGATAGTCATCAGCGCAACTTCTTTCTTTATCTGTCACCAATTTCGACTTTCCCACTAGGCTTTCATCAATTTATCTTAAAGGTCCTCAAAATATCTTTGAATTAGGCCTTAGCAGCTGAAGTTGTGTCAGAAGAAATTTCTGTCGGTCCACAACCAGAATTTTATTAATTAATTAATTTTTTTTTATATATATTTACAAATAGTGGAGTATCCTCGTATTAAATTTTGCATCAAGAGAGACTAATTCCACCATTTCTCCGGCTAAACTAACGGCAGAGCACGTATAGCCAAACCAAAACAGCTCCTTTTCCAACACATATGCATTAGATATTTATGCGCAGACAAACATTTTGATTAAAGTCAATGAAAACTGTGATTTTTTCACTTTAAAAGTCTTAAACCACAGAAACCAAAAATAAACTAAAGCAAATTAATTACGAGTAACTAAAGAAATTATGGTCCAACCAACCTGATCCAAGGTCTGGTAATTATCTGCTATTCTTGAGTATTTCCTATCCAACCTCTTCTGTGGTTGCTGGGTTGGCCTTTGTGATTCATAAAGATAAGATGAATTATGTGCAGGTGCATGGTGATGTTGGGGTGTGTAATAGGGACTCTGTTGAGAAGATGGATATGGATATGGTGATGCTGGAGGATATCCATATTGATTCCATGAAGATGAAGAACTGGGTGAATCATAAGAAGAAAAATCTCTCCTACTCGACCCTTTTGAGAATATACCTCCCATCAGCAATCAATTCCAAACAAAAAAAAACTCTCTTCAAGCCTTACCAGCTGAACCAAATTCCGTATCTCTCTCTACCTGCAAACAATATTAATCATCATATACATACACCGTCAATAATGAAGGTTTCAACTCAAGAAAACATCACAGTATTTACATAGTATTTCTTTATATATAGATCATACCTTGAAACTTGGAAACGAATACCAAAAAAAAAAAAACACTTGAGAATGCAATAAAAATTGTAGAATATTTTTTAATTATGGGGTATATAATTAAGAAGAAGAAGAAGAAGTGAATTGAAAGGAAGTTTCTGAGTTTAAGGGGTAACAGTAATAGTAGTATGGAACGCAGACCAAGAAAATTAAAAGGCGGCTAATTGAAAACTAATTAACGACCAATTCAAAGAGAGAACAGAGCAGCCACCGACCTCAGCTCAGACGACCCAAATGTTTTGGCTGCATATATCGAGAAGAACACTCACCTGTAAGTCTCCATGATAAAGCTCTACTCCATTCCCCAAAGAAAGAACTAACAAAGCATTAAAGCCTAGTGGGCTTTGATAGATCAACACGCAATTGCTTGAAATTTATAAAAATAAAAATGTATATACACACGTAATCTTGTAGCTGGGGACGCCAAACGCAAAGTATTTCTCGGTCAACTACTTTCATCTTCTGGTTCGAGTTATAATTCAAAATTATTTATACTAATATTATAGTGAAAAGACATAGTCGTAATTAATTTAATTAATAGATAACAACGTTGTTGCGGTCTACATGTAATTAGAAAGAAAAGATTACCATATCATGATTTCTATTAATATCCCGCAATGCAGGGGTCATTATCTTCATTTATTTTTTAGTTTATTCTTTTGAGTATTGGAGATTATATATGATTGGTGGAGTACGTAGATTTATATATATTTCTCCTCTATATCTTTTTTTATATGGACATTTTGTTATTTTTCGATGGAGTTTTATCAAGTAAATCATCCATCTTCCAGTATAAATATGTATTTATATGGAATTTCTACCTCCCAATATTTTCTTAGATTCAAAGCTGAATTGATATAGAATTTGAAGTAGTTGGCAAATGACCGGATTGGTAAAATTAAACAATAGTTGATACAGACACATGATTGAAATTGAGGCGTTTTCTCACTGTTTGAAAAGTAAACATGTCAAGTCATGATTTTGACGTGCCATTTATGCATTTGCCATGCTAACGTCAAGCATTCGGAGCCATAAAATTTTGTCTATGGGCCTTCTTCAATCCATAGTTCTTTCATTATTTCATGCCAGTCTTGTATTTATCTTGTGGGCTAACTAGTTTTGTTAGGAATTGCACGTGTAATTTTTTTAGTTTTCTATTGGATTTGAACACCCTTTTTTTCTTTTTCTTCTTTTTTTCTTTTTTATGCTTTTGTCGCTGAAGATTAGGTTAATGTGCTTATCTTTCCACCTACTTGGTTCTATAGATTAGTGTTTCAGTTATTCCGTCTTTTATAGATTTTCTTTAAAAAAATAAAATCATGTTTGAGATGATGTTTTAGAAAAACACAACAAAGTTTAACTAGTTAGACCAAAAAAAAAAAAAAAAGTGAATTTATTTGTGACAGAACTTATTGTAAGAAATTTTATCTTACTTCAGGAGTAATTAATGATATTGCTATAAGAGAGAGAGATTTTTTAAAAAAATATTGAATTTTAGAAAAAATATTTTGTGAATTCATATATAATTTTTTTCCCCTAAGTATATCTCCCTCTTCACCCAAGAGATACATATGAGTAAATTATAAATTAGTCCCTCTAGTTTCAAGAAACAAATTAATTAGTCTTCTTCCTTTTAAAAATTATTATTTAGTCTTTTGACTAGTGTTGACTATACTTAATTTAATATTATTTTTATTCTATAAAATATTTTCTTTTCTCATCAATCTTTCTATATTTTTTTTCTATATTTTTCCTTTTTCTATTTAAAAAAAACTCAAAATAAATTGAAAAAGAGCAAAAAATGCTAAGTTATAAGTAGATTTTAAAAAAATAGAGACTAATAATTAATTTTTAAAGCAAAAGAAACTAATTTATTTATTTCTCAAAATGAGAAGGACTAATTTATAATTTACTTAGATAAATATTGTTAGTTACTTTTTAAATATTTTAAAATTTCTCTAATTTATTTGTCTTTTTATTTTAAAAATCAAACTTATTAAAAAAAAACTATAATATGCTAATGAATAAATTATTAGAAATGCCAGAAGTTATACTCTTTATCTCATAAAAATATAAATTTACTGTAAAAATAATCATGGATGTCATATTTTTATTAGAAAGAAGAGTATAGTTCTGTACTGAATAATTCCTGGAGTGACGTGTCATGTCCTTAGAATTTAAGTGCAGAGAAAATTCATGAGTTCATATACGATAATGGCTCCGAGTCAATGGGTCAATTTGTTCTAGATTTTAAGGTTTCTCATTTGGTATGGGTAAGAAGATTGTCAAGAGAAAAGGAGATAGCCACGTGTCTCCTGCTTAAGGATATACACGTACCGCTCATGGGATCTACGGTAGGAGAGCACATCTACTTTTCTACTTTTTCATGTCTCACTCTTTACACTCTTTCGTAGATTTCACACCCAACCACCCCCTCTCTTTAAATGTGCCAATCATTGTCTCAACTTCATTTCATTTAAAAATAATCCATCTTCAATATATATAATCATGCCACTTTCGTTTAAAAATTTTACAACTCTGTTATATAAATTATATTATTTTTTAAAAAAATAATCACATTTTAAAATTTTATTCAAAAATTTAGATATAAAAAACCATAAATCATATTTATCAATAATTAAAATTTAAATAAAATTAAAATTACAATTAATTAGATGACAATCTCTATAAGAAATAACAAATTTTAAATAATAAAATTAACATCACCTAAAATATATTTATCAAGAATATTGATTTTCTAGTCAACTACTTATGCAATTCTTTTGATAAAATAGAATAAAATCATTCTAATTTGATAGTTCATGATATATTATGAGTCTATTAAAATATATTGAATCAAAAATTGAAAAAACACTAATTTTTTTAAACAAAATTTTGTATTTAAATATTTTTTCTTATGTTTTGTATTTAAATAATTCTTTTTTATGTTTTATATAAATTTTATACTTAAAAATACATTATTTTTTCTTCTTTATGCATTGATTCGTAAATAAAAATTACAATAATCTAAATTGAAATTTTAATTCAAAATTCAAGAAAATGCATTAAAAATATATAACATGTATGAAAATTAATAGAATATTTTTATATAAAAAATAAAATGTAAAAATAAATTAAATAAAACTACATAAATATTTTCAAATTTTCAAAAAAAAAATATTAATATAAATAAATTAAATGAAATTATAAAAAAAAAAAAAAAGGCACTGGCCAGGAGGACCAGGCCCTGCCCAGAATCAATAAAAAAAAAAGATTGTTTTGAAACATTAGGGACCAAAATGAAATTGTTTGGCCAAATACATAAAATGCCCAGGGTAAATGAACCTATGTAAACAGTGCAAATGCGTGTAAGTGTATAGTGAAATGCACAGTGCATGCAGTGAACAACTTATTTCTTTCAACTCTATTTTATTTGAAAATTAATTCCTAAACTTTCAATTTCAAATTTAGCATTTCATAAATTTTATTTTTTAAATTTAATCCATCCTATTGTTTCTAACTATGAGCTTTCCTTTTAAAAAAATTAATTCTTGATATTTGAAATAACATTTTGCACACACTTTGGAAAAAATTCGATCCTTTTTTTTTTTGAAATCTCGTATGTTTTTCAAGGTCAGAAAGTGTGTCTATGTATAATAAAAAAAAATACACGAAATGATCCTATATTTTTTTTTTTGTAGAACTCCAAAAAACATTTTACTAAATTATTTATATCATGAAATTATTTCTGTAGCCGTTATTTTTAATAAGAAAAAAAGAGTTAATCATAATTTTGGTTTACCAAGTCATAAATTTTTTCTAATCAAGGACGTTATCTTTAATTTTTATTATTTGGGTAATCAAAATTATAATTTGTTTCTAATTAAGCATCTTCGTTAAGTTTTCATTAATTTTTTTCATTCTTTGCAGACATGGCCTGTTAATGGGACCCTTTTTTCTACGTGGTAAGGATGACAGCCACGTGTAGATGGCCTAGAAAAATAAAAAAATAAAAAATAAAAAAATAAAAAAAAATTGTTCTTCAACCTCTTTCTCTAAAACCCAAGGCCTACGATCCTTTAACCCACTGCCACCCACACAACCCTTTAATCACCACTGCCACCCATTCCCGAGCCAACCACAATAGCCTTGAACTACCAGCCACCGTCGACCTCTCCAATTGCCATCTCCATAGAAACTCGCCCAAAGCCACCCTTTCTTTTCCACCAGCCAATCGAAAACTGCTAGCTTGAATACCTGTTTTCCCTTTCTCTATCACCTAACACATGCAACGTCAGCTACCACCAATCTCGTCGAAACCCACTGTCGTTCCTCCACCAAACAAAACTGAGTCTCAAAATCCCACCCGTTATTGTGAACGCTAACCACTCCTAACACCATCAACCACCATTAAAACCCATTCCTACGTCGATCTTCTAGCTGCACCACCTTTCCTCTCAGTACCAGCTACCCTCAACCACCCTTCAAACGCAGCCCACTCTTAAAGCCGGGTAATGTCCACTTCCAAACCAGACCCACACTCACCTATACCACCGACATACTTGTTAGAGTAAGGGAAAGAGAGGAGCCAATAACTCCATCTTTGAAGAAGAGAAAAAGGAAAAGAAGACCAAAACTTCTGCTTATAACGGAAAAGACTCGTTTTCTGTAGTCTTTTCCGTTTTCAATTTCTCTCTCTTTTTTATTTTATTTTTCAAACTATCCATATGTGGTTGTCACGTCATTGTCATGTAGAAAACGAGTCCTCCTAATGGGCCACTTGTGCAA